CTTTTGTGGGAGACAGAGCGTGCACCAAGGCTCTAAACTGTGTCTGCGACATGCTGCCTTCTCTGGCCGCCTCTGGAACTTACACATCAGTTTGAGGAGACATTCTCTCCCTGTTTCACATTCCAAGAGGAAATAAGGGATAGGGATGATGACTAAGTAATGATACAAACTTATCTGGAAGGTGAAAGCAAACAATTAGCCTAATAAGATGATAACCAAAGTTAAATAAAACTATTTTCTTTGTCTTAGCTGTAAACCTTTATGTGTAAACAAACATTGATAAATTATTTATGTGCTCGTTCGCTTTTCTCGTTCTTAAAAGCAAGCAGCCACTCATCTTTATTGTATTTAAAAGGTTGTTAATGGCATCAACAGCTTCAGTGAATTCACTGGTGCTTAAACAGACAATGAGAAGCCTATTAGTGTAGTGTACATAAATGCATCATAAATACATCAATGGCCAAAGAAAGAGATGAAATATGTGCTATTTAATTATTTTGTCAGGATTGTCAAAAGGAGCAATTAAAACATGAATAAAAAAAAAAAGTAGGTTCAAGGTTTAAGGTTCTATTCAAAAATATTACAAAATAACTGTGGTAGAATTCTGCACCCTTTTCTTGAATGTCTATTAAATGCAGTTTCTCATTTTTTCTATTCAAATCAGACAACAGTGGCACAGGTGGTTGCTTTGGTCCGTGTTTTCAGACGGGCCCAGGGCATCTATGGCTACCTAAGCTCCAAGTGGGGAATGACAAATGTGATGTAAAATGTCCAAAAATAGTACTGTATGCATATGGTCAGAGATTGGTCTGTCCATTGGCTTAAATTTTAACTTCTTCGTCTTTTACTGCAGTGTAAGTAAGTGCCTTTCTTCTGCACGGGTGGCTCTCCACTCCCTCTGTGACTTTTATTCATTGTAGCTGAATGAGAAATATAGATTTGCCCCTGGAAATTAGCAGGAAAAATGTATAGACATAAAAGAAATAGAGCATGAAGGAGCAGAAAATATGGAGAGGTGAAAAAAAGTATGTGAAAAAAAAGAGAAATGTGGAAAAGAGGGGATGTTGAAAGAGAGATGGCCACTCTAAGTGCAGCAGCACACAGGCACAGAGCTGTGAGTTCCCAGGCAAGACAGCATGAGCTGCCTATTTGTCAGCATTGATCAACCCATTAAGGGGCTGTGGTGGGAAGCATATTGGTTTTGGAGGCCAAAGGGGCAGAGAGAGACAAAGATAAAGCAAGACGGGGGTGCTGAACTGCTCTCAGCCTCTGCAGCCACAGACACATCTCCACACACTTTATTCTGTGTTTGCCAATGGGAAGGTAGAACATGTCATTTGTCTTAGAGCGTCTCCAGAGGAGCCACTGTACTGTATACTATCTTAGATGTGTGCGTTGGTGTTGCTAATAATCAGTAGCTGGTGTGGTTGAATGTCACTTGTGCGTGTATATGTGTGTGTGTGTGCCTGTGTTGGTGGTGGGGCTGGAGGTGGGTCTTGGCCCTAGGGGATAGCAGGCTGCCTCTTCGCCCAGCCTCTGATGAATTCATATAATTAACTCTGCCTTGATCTGTTGGCTAATCCTGCACTCAGTAATAAGGGATTAAAATGTCACCTAAGCCACCTGCTGCTATTGAGCCCCCAGACTTTTGTGCCTCTGTATATGAGTGTGTATGTCTGTGACAGGATGAGCGGGGAGAGGAGATAAAAGTACAATGCACTGCAGGCTTCTATGTAGGCAGCTTGAAATGCTGGGAACAGTTTCGCTGGTTGCACAGAGAAATGTATGTTGGGGACAGTATAATGTGACGCAGAAACAGACATCTTAACCACTGCCAGATACATGCTCTAAATCTTTGCAGAACTCTAAACCGTAGCATGAAACTGAACTTGGTCATTTGGCAGGGGGTTGGAGTTGCAGCGGACTTCTCTGAAAACTCATTGTCACAGTGTCTAAAAAGGGACATGAAAGTGGGACATGCTGGAGGTGGGAGTTCAGAGAGCTGTTCCCTCCCGCTCCCCATGACCTCCTTGGACTGAGCAAAGTAAAAAGAAAAAAGAAAGGAGTGCCAATTGGTTGGCTAACGGCCCACAGACTGGCCAGCTTGCCTTGCCTGGCGGCCACCTCCCCACTGTTGCCAGGCAACCTCAAATGTACTTTTGGCTTGGCTAATGACTCTAGTTGCTAGTGCGGCTCAGAGGCGACTAATGAAGCCTCCTGACCAATTGTGTCCGTTTAAAATCTAAAAGCTGGCTGATCACTGCTCTGGGATTTTAGGACTTCAGGTTAATGTAAACCTCTTATGTGTGACAACTTTTGCCCTGAACGCAGCCACAGGCAGCATGCACCAGAACCAGTTAACACATTAAACTTACACCTGTGTACAGGTCCTAAGGCTGGAGAACTCTGTTGGATCTTTAGAATAATGACTGTAAACCTAATGCACAATCCTACAGCCTTTACACTAAGAAGCTTATGTGCTCACCCACATGTTTGTTCCCCTTTTGTACTATTGATGTGTCATTGGGCAAGACATCGAGACACCTGTGTGTACACCTTCAATATATGAATCTGTGAATGCTTGTGAGTAACTGATGTGCCATGGAGGTTATAAAAACTATTCAACCATCCTTCTCTCTGTAAATTCAACTTCAGACTTGCAAACCTAATAAAGTTCCCTATACAGACTCGCCTACAGAGACAGGCCTAGCTCAGTGCTGTTTGCCATGAGTTACAGTCCAAACAGTGGATGGTGGAGTGCCTGCCTATCTCATCTGTGATTGTGCTTTTGCCTGTACGACGCGTCTGTCATGTCACTTAAGCTTTGTTCTGGTGTCACAGCTTATTGCGAGGCGAGTACATTATGTCCCCCGGGTGTCACTATGTATGTAATTGTCTATACATGTCCACCACTCACAGGTCTATATTTGGCCATGGTCTCGCTTCATGTCAAGTGCTGTCAAGTGCTGTGTTGCCTGCGGGCCCAACACCCACTGCGCTGCCCTAGTATAGTGATCTGAGTGGGCAGCACCTTGGCACTCCATTTGGACCTGTCCTCGTGGCCTACTTAAAGATAGAGGCCTTGGACAAAGTAAATATAAAACAACATGCAAAAATAACTTAAGAAAAGCAGCGTGGGTTACGCTAATACAGGGGTCTTCAAAGGTGCTGCTTAACCACCCACCCTTGTCACAGAGGAAAAGGAGATTTAATTCTTTTTGCGTGTATACAATCAAGTGTCTTTTCATCTATTCATATTCAAAATCCAGGAATAGGAAAAAAATAAACAACAAATAGCAGGGGAATATATATTTTTTCATTCATGGCAGCCAGTTATAAAGCTCTTTTTTATGTAACATTGGCAACATTTTGCTTTCACCTCACTCTCAAATGGATCTTCAAAGGATGTTTATTGATTCCCTACTGTTAACCTTTCACATGATGTTTTATGGTTGCTGTGTTTGGTGGCCCTCAATAGCTTTTAAAGGCGGTGATGGGGCGAGGAGCTGCTTGGCGGGCCAGACCAGGGGCGCAATCGGAGTAGGATAAAAAGCAGAAGATTTGGACAGGGAGGAAGAAAGATTGCAGTGGGTCAGGATGAGTTGGTGACTGGGCGTCTGGAAGTCAGCGAAGAATCAGGAGCGTAGGGGAGGAGGTAGAGAGGACTTGTCCCCGTGGGGTTGGGAGTGGCTGATGTAATGGCATTAATCTCCAATTGCCATCTGACACCCAGTGCGACTCTGTCATTGAAAAGTGCTAATTCTGCTGAACTGTGTGGGGAATACAGCCATCTCCAGAGGCAAAGCCAGGGATTAATTAAACACTTTGCACACAGATTTATCTCTTTTACAGCGCAGTCGCTCTTTGATTTTTGTGTTAAGCTCTAAGAAAAATCCAGAAAACTGACCCAATTCTGTGTTTTCTTGGTCAATACTTTGACATTTTAAACTGTTGTGTTGGTACTGCTGGTGGCACAACTTTCTTCAAAAGTTTTTCCTTTTCTTGTTTCCTTAGTTTTTTGTTCTAGACTATTGCTGATTTAAAATTATATAGAGTTTCATGTTTAAATAGTGTTATGTCCTGGTTAGGGATTTAACGATATCCAAATCTCTCAGTACGATATTATCATGATATACATCTCACGGTAGGATATTTATTGCAATATTTTGGAAAGGTGTATATAATTGTAGATGGAACACTTTTTTGCTTTAAAAATACCTTGACAATATTTTGGTGTGAATTATTTCCATCATAATCCCAAGAATTCAAGTAAAAACCATGTTTCTTCATGTTCAATGAATCAAGGCATATGTAGTTTCTGATGATGATACGCTGTTGCTACTGTAAAACAATGCATTTAAGCAAAGGAACTTGTAATTCGATATACTGTGACAGCCCACGATATTATTGTGACTTTTGACGATACGATATCATGATATTTCGGTTATTGTTCCATCCCTAGTCTTGGTTTGGTCTTGGGTTAACTTTCTTTGGCATTTTTAAGTTAAGGTTGCAATGTTGGTCGTGGTCTTGGTTTGGATACTGCAAGGGTTGTCAAGAGTGTCAAGACCCAGATACTAATCATTTGTAAAAAAAAAATAATAATAATAAGATAAGATAAAATAAACCTTTATTTGTCCCACAATGAGCAAATTATAAACATTTTTAGATATGCATTTGAGCAAGTATCACTACTGAAAAAATAGCATAACAAAATGCTACATTTTCTGAATAGCTTTAGAATGATATTGATCAAAAGATGTAATAAGACCACATCATATTGTTATTTTGTCTGTTTACATACAAATGTTACATTACTGTTCACATAATCCCACATTTAACATTGTTTGGCTGTGATTTGATCTAGTCTATCAAAATCTTGCCTCATTTCAGTCCAAAGAATACTTGTTTTTATTGTGAAAGACATGCCGTTGAGGATACTTTGACTAACCTGGGATTTCCCTTTCTCTTTCTCCTTTCCTCTCCTCTGCTCTATCCAGATGAACCGTCCCATCCAGGTGAAGCCAGCCGACAGCGAAGGACGAGGAGGTAATTAACCTTCTCCTACTCTCCATTGAACGCCCCTCTTAGACCACACACCAAAACACAAATACACAACCCCGAATCAAACACAACACACACACTCGTACTATCCTTAATATTCTGCTCTCACTGGCGACACACAGGGAGTTAGTGGAGTACCTCGTAATATAGGTCACTTGCTTCTATTGACTTCCCATCTGTGCCAGCACCAGGCCTGTCTCAGGTTCACAGTCACTGGGAGCAGTTCAAAGGCAGAGACATATTAGAGGCCAAAGAGATGACCAGTATCCTACAAACTCTTATTTACATCCAGAATCGAGACATTTCCCCTTAGACAGATGGACATTCAGAATAAGACATGGATAGTATAGAACTAGTTTTTGTCATTAGTTCCAATTCATGCATTTATCTTTAAAAAATTTGCCTAATATTGATTCATATTACACAAAACATATTACATCCCTCATTAATAGGATACCACAATATTGATACTTTGTAGTGAAGTGATCTACATGTATATGAATGTCAAAATTTTTAGAAATGACCATGGTGACACAATGCACATATTAGCAAACACTGCTAAGAAGTTTTGTCTGAAAACTCAAGAAAAAATACAAAATAGATTTAAACAGCACATTTTCTGGAGCCTGTGATCAATACAAGCATTCATGGTCCTGTTTAGGAGTTTGATTTTCAACAAAAAGAGATACCGTGACTAACTGAAAAACTGTTGGCTAATGCTGGCTGGCTTTTAACTGTAATTTCATGTGAGAGGAACTTGTTTAACAGCACCACTCAGCTCACTTGTTGTAGTTCCAGCTAAGTCAGACCTTTATGGTCAAATTGCGTTGCATTAAAGATCAGATTAAAGTCTAATTTGAAGAACAGAGCTTTAGACAGAGTAAGGCTTACAATTAGCATCACACCCCTAGGGAATGTTGCAAAGTATCAATATTGCAATCAAACTGAAATCACAGTTTGAGTTGTCACAATTGTCAAATAGTAAAGGCTGCAATTATCTAGTTAATAGAATGGCTTCTGCAAAGAGAGAGAGGAAAAACTTAAATGTTTATAACTAAATCTTGTTAAATGTAGGGCTTACAAATATGTGACAGTAGCTCATTACTTACAGTATTTTTTCTTGTGATGTTTGGATGATGCAATATTCAGTCTTCCGAAAAAATTTTGAAAAAAAAACAAAACAATTTTTACTAAAAACCTAATGTAATTTAGGCCATGTTCGTATATCAAAGTCTTTTTGTCAATGCCTCAGTGTTTCCCCTAAAGTTTCATTGTCAAAGTCAAACTTCCACAAAAGCAGCTGTATCAGGTTGGCCGCATTTCCCATCAGCTCCCTCACTAAAGGATGCCAAATTGCATTGTGGAGTATTCACTTTTGTAGATAGTCTGGCTGACACATTGATTGACTAGATCATTCTGAACCCATTTGTGAGTACCATCACTGAGGTTAATGCAGATTAGACCAGTTAAAGATTTACATGGTTGGCTGTGGCTCTAATTGGCCCGCTCTGTGTCTGGCTTGTGCGTGCGTTTAAGAGTGCTGATTTAAACAGCCCGGGTCACATCGCAATGAGCCACTGGGCTGATTTACTGTATATGGTCAGCCGTGAGTCAGATGGTCCAATGCTGTTACCACACACACACACCACATGGAGATCTCATTTTGGTCATGGAGGCCCTTTAATTAACAGCCATCTAAAAACAAGCAAAGTCTGACTGACAGGGCCTGGGCAAAAGCCAATGGGCATTCTCACCAAGATAAATTGGATCTCTGGGCTTAAGAGGGAAGGATGGATGGGTCCCAATATCAATTACTATCCCTTTTCGCTGAAAGAGGAGCGACATGAACCGGCAGTGTGAATAAAATACAGGCTCTAAGGCCAGCTCAGCCCTGTGAGCGCTTCAGCTGAACTTTCTCTTCAGAGGACAGAACAGGACACAGCCCAGAATGAAATAAGACCAAGCAGACAGGCCCCAACAGAGATATTGAGCGTTAATGGCAACAGGAAGTCAGGAGACAGGCCAAGGAAGTAAACCACAACCGCGACTGACAATGAAATGAGATTTACTGTGAAGGCCTGTGGTTAAAGGAAAATAGACAGCACAGCTGGGGGAGGAAAGTAACAAGGGATTCATCTCCGGGGCAGAGGAGCAGCCAGGTACACCAATCCCTATGGGGCCCACTACACTGTCAAAGCCAGGCCTGCACCGGGACATTTGCACCTTTAGAATGGAGTCACATTTATCACTACCAAGACATGGGCAATTATCTGTCATGGGGAGTTGTGCAGAGGTCTCGATTATGTGTCTGCACAGGCATTAGGGCCCATTACTCCATTTGGAGACTCCAGTAGACCCTCTTTTGTTCAGTGTGTCCCTAAGAGACATCCTCTCTCTGGGGATGGAGAATGTCAGGAAGAAAACCTGCGCTGAAAAAAAATGTCTAGGACGTCTGGCGCCGCATAGGCCTGCTGCTCAGAGCCACACTGGAGCACAGTCTTTACTCTCCTGCTGTCGGCTGCACTGACTCATGTCTACATTCATTTCTCTTGGATTATTCTAAAAGAATGGAACAGAGCATGAGGTGTCTGTTCTGTGGGTGGACGAGCCTTTTATTCAGAAATCTAAATTTGTGTGATGCTTCAAATCCTATTGTTTATTTCGAGCTTTTTAAACGTACAAAGATGCTGTGAAAGCTTCTTAAATGCAGAGTGGTAGCTGATTATCTTCATTTGTAATGTTCTGCTACAAGCAAACACTACCAGCCTGTAATTTCAACTTCAATTAATTTAGCGTAGCTGCAAATTTGGTCTACATTTTCCCAAAACTTTAAGAACACTAAACCAAAAAGTTGCCCACATATGTTATAAGCCAAATGTTAGTGTAAAAGTGCTTTAAATCCAAATAAATTGCTCTAGAAATAGTAGTAGCATTTGCTTTCATCCGTGAACTGTCTTGGTCGCAGAAATACAATGGGAGAGAAGAGGTGAGGGGGAAGATAGAGGCTCTGCTCTGCTTGAGTGTAACCCGTGGAGGAATATGGAGCGGGTGAGAGATGGGAGACAAAAAGAGTGAGTGAAGATGCGGCGACAGGATGAGAAAGTTAACGGAGGGTGATGGAGGCAGCTGAGTGAATCTCTGCAGTAAATCATCTCCCAGCCGCCCCGGCCCTATCTCCTCCTCGCCTCGCCACGAATCTTTTTCCCTCTGACCTTGTCTGCCGCTGTGTCTGTGAAGAAAAGATGGGGCCAGATTATCTATGATTGGAGATGGCCATTATCTAAACACAATCTTGGAGCCAGGTCCCTCTCTTGTGGCGAGTGCTGTGAGACTGGAGACCACACTGATGAGAAGCGAGATGATGGGTCAGCCAACAACACCCTCTGCTTTTATTAACTGTGATAAGAAGGTTTCGAGACTCTCTTCAAATGTCCTGCAACCTCCATCAACACTTAGTTTTTCCACTGCGTGCCATTCAAACGCCAACACGTCTCCTCTCTTTAGCTCCCTTGTTTATTATTTCCACAATGTTGTTTTGGTCTATACTTACAGGAGCACTGCAGTCTCCTTCAATGCCTCAACAACTGCCAGAGTGTCTGTCCTATACGGCCTCTCGTCTGAGCATGTCTGGCCAAAAGCAGCTATTGTGGAGGGGCCATGTTTGTCCTTGCCAGCCTGCTGCTCTTCAGAAGGTTGACCCCAGTCGGACAGTGCAGAGATTGACAGGACCTTAAGATGTTGCACACTGAGCAGTAATGCCCCAGCGCAGCAGGTAGTGGAGAGTGAAGGCTGCCAGGACACAGAGGAGGGGCTGTCTGCTCCGGCCCCACACACCCACAAAGGAGCACACTCCACTTTACATGCAAATCACTCCAAAAGATCCCACTGCGCCTCTGGACACAATCATGCCAATTCGGAAAAGTCTCATGAACCATTGTATGTGTGCTGAGAAATAGACTAAAGATGGATAATACATGTTGACAAATACATATTTACAATTTTACATTTCAACAGGCAATTTTTCTTGTTTGAAAATGTATAGAAGTGGGTTGAAGACTTTACCACGCTCCCAAAAGGACATAAACTATAACTCATTTGAAATATTTTTGCCAATAAATAGTTCTTTATTTGTGAGCCTTTTATTGTGCAAAAACAGAGTAAGTAAGTAATTCAAAACATCACATTTTATTTATATATTTTTACAATACATAGATGCTGTGATTGTCTGTAATTTGGGGTAAATTGTGGGTCTGAGCTAATTTCTGCCTGCTGCCTGTTACTGCCAACTTCTGCTCAACGTAAGACTTGTATTCATTATGGGAATTGTTATAATTTTGTACATTAATATTACTAAATAGAATGAATAGACTAAATCCTACAATTACTTTCCATCCATAGAAAGCACCAGAGCTACCAAAGCAACATTTGCTGGAATGCTGTTATATGGTAGTTGAATCTCATAGTGTAAAAATCTTTGGAAAAATCTATGCCACTTCCACACTGCGATGTGTAGCAGAGCTTAACATTTCGGACTTGAGTTTCTCTTTCGTTGTCATTGATATGGATGAGATTAGGAATAAAAAGTCAGAGGGACATTTCATTTTAGAGAGGTCAGAATGGAATGGTTTGTTTTGCACAGAAAAGGGACTCAACTTCCATACAGGAGGAGAAAATAATACCTCTCTATACATGTGTGTGCCAGTTTGGGGTATCTATTGCATTATCTTATCTATCATTGCTTTTCAATGCTTTGTACTTCAACAATATTTAATAATTACTATTTTAATTATTTAGATTTTATTAATGGTGCTTTTTAATTGACTTTTGGTGATTAGTTGTCTAAAGAAGGACATGGTTTCATTAACACTGTTTAAAGGACGGGCTATCCATCATAGTGAGTGTGTCCTAGAGGTAAAGTGTTATTCCCTGGGGCTCAAAAGTTAAGTTGATTAAAGCTGTCAAAACCATTGCCAAAGGCCTTTACTAACTTAGGTTTTAATAAGCTTCAACAGTTCTAAATTATAGCTGACACATTAACAAATCTGGATTCACAAAACTGTTCTTTACATTAGTATTAGTTCTTTACATTACATTAATATTTATATAATATGGGCATTATTTAAATTAAAAGTGCTCTAGGTAACTTTTCTGGTGGGGCTCTGACACCCATCAGAAAGTTTGTTTTTTACACATGAAAAACAAAAGCTATAATCAACCAGCTACTATTTGATGAATACTATGTGAACATTCTCATGTTGTGTTCTCTTTGAAACACATATAGTAGTAAAGCTTTCGTTGTTAGCTGTCTATATATATATATATATATATAAGCATCAATGCCTATATTCACATTGTAACCCAGACTTTGCCAGTGGGAAAAACAAAGGCTGAAGTTAGCCCGCCTACATACGTGCGTGTGTCTGGTGGCAAGCCCCCCCAGGCACATGGGCCAGGAAGCACCACTGTTTTCTAATGAGTCTATAAGAACTCTTCACAACTCTGGCTGTTGTTATGCTGCCTGCAACATTACTGTGTGTTTGAAATGCACCCAGTGGCCTAGGAGGCATCTTTTATCGTTGAATGCAGCTGTCCGTGCTTTCTGAACATTTACTACCACCAAGCTTCCTTAACTACTGCCAGCGGGAAAAAGTGATAGAATCTGTGAAAAAGGAGAATATTTACCACACAAGACAACAAAAGTTCTTTTATAGAGAATATTAATAGTATTGGAAGACTAAAACTTTTTGAAACGTAGACTTCATAGAAAATGGATCATAGCCTGAAGATAGTGTGAAGAATGACAGTAAAGGGTGCAATATGGAGACAATGGAGAGATGTATGGAGGGAAAAGTACACTCTATATGCATACACTGCTGCCTATAACACAAGTACCACTTTATTCCACTGAGAGAGGCATCAATCTTGACAGCATATGGCGTCTGTGCAAAATCCATTAATTTTTAATATACCGGGTGCTGAAATGAAAGGGCTTCCTGAGACAAGCAATTGTCAGATGTCAGTAGTGTTTTGATAACTTTTTTGATCTCCTTTTTTTTTTATTTGCATTCATGAAACAGAGCTGTCAGCATAACATCTTTTGTGGACATGTCTATATCTGTAGATCTACAGGTGTACATCCATATGGGACCGGTAAAATGGTGGCATCATGAATGAAAATCTGAAAAGCCCTTTTTACTTCACAGATTTCATATATAATTATTTGTTAAACTGTTAGATTTGTGCCTCGGGGGTCACAAGCTGTTGTACTTCTTGTACCATTTCAGCACATATAAATTTGAGGGTAATTGCTGTAAAAGCAATATGTAAATTTAAAATGTAAATTATTATGTGCGCCTAGAGGCAGATCATTTGTGGCGGCCCCAGCAAATTTCAAATGAATATCCATTGTGTTTTAATCGCTAAATTATAGTAAGAAATGTTGAATTTATGTTTTAGGTAACTATACTTGCCTTATGTAACTCCCCATAAGTTGCTACCAAGGCAAAAAGCCATCCATCACATGATAAAACGTATTACAAGTATTCTATTATATATACAAGATAAATACCCCCCAAAAAAGAGTTCTAACACTGTTCTTATGTGCATTAAATCTACCAAAATAAGAATGTTTAGATGTAATCTTGAGGCCCCAAAACACCTCTGTCTATGGACTATTTTAGCTCGCCTTACACTGCACAGCGCTATACTTGAAAAGAGAAACCTTTAACATTTACCTGATATCCTTTTGGACATGTGGGCCTGTGTGAGAGCAGAGCACGCATTAGGAGATATTTATTAATATTCATAAAATGTCAATTTAAACCTCGCAAGTGGCCATAGGAGATGTGCAGGAACTTGCAGAATCCAATAAGAGCTGCTTGGGAGACAGGTGTAAAGTGGACTAATTAATAGCAATCTATACTCTGGCCAGGGCATGCAGCGAGCCAACCGAGACACTCTCAGGTCCGGCAATGAAAAGATAGCAGCTCCGAATTCATTTTCTGGCAGTGGCTCTCCCAAAGGAGGCCTGTGAAGTACACTCACACTGCCTTTAATGTCTACACTGGGGTGTCATTTATTTTTGCGTTTGCCAGCACATTTGGAAAGTTCATTACCTCACTCATGGCTTGTTAATTAGCCTTGTAAAGCCGCCATTAGATCTCTCCGGGCCGGGCCGAGATGAGACTTTTTGTCCCGAAACATTAGCACACTACAGGAGGCCTGTAAAAGTGCACTTATGGCCATTTAAGGCGCTAACACTGACACCTCCCTGGAAATGGGATGGAGGCACAGACAGGAGCGGGCTGCTGTGATCCCCATGTTTCACCTTTGCTAGCGCAGGGAGGGGTCAGGCTCATTTCGGACGCACACCTGTTCACGGCTGACTTTGGAGCTTTTTATACGACAGTGCAGGACTGAAGACTAAAGTGCAAGACTAGAAAGACTCTGGTTAAAGGGTGAAAGCTCTAGGTTGACAACAGCAGAGTAATGAGCAGCACATTCTCTAAGAAAGGTTATGAGTTCAGTCCTTTGGCATCTTCAGTACTCCAACATTCTCAAAAAATAATTTTCTTCCCTACCATCCAAAGTTATGCATTTGTGGGTTTGTAAAAAAAAACGTATAAGCAACTAATTCAATGAAAAATATTGTTGTGAACTGAGACAAAACATAATGTATTGCACTTGCAATAAGAACACAAGTTTATTCTATTTATTGATTTCAGGTTCCTGTTTATAGGTGATATTTTGAGGACTTTTGCCCTTTAAAAGACATAATATTTGTTTTTTGCGATGTTAATTGCTATGGCAATGGTGCTAGATTTCTATCACTCAGAAAACTGGATTGGTAAATTATATTTCAAGGCAAGTCAATGTCTTCACAAATTTTGCCAAAATCTACTTTAATTAAGATGTATTAATTATAGCAATTAAGTTTTTGTTTTGTTTTTTCTTTGAAAACAAAGTATAGTTCAAGAGTCCTGTCATTTATCATATTTGTAAATTAATTTGATTTGACATAGAAAGTCTGAATAAGCATAATAAAGCTCAAATCTTTTATAACAAAAACATCAGCATCAAAGAAGAATTGGTCATGAAATGATGGTCGAATCATTTCTACTGCCATATATCTAAGACATAAAGATAACTGCAGTAATGAGCAGTCATGTTAAGTCTGTATACCCCTGCTGTGTGAGGCGTCAGTACACACGGACAAACATGGACATCTCCGGCAGCAGCAACAGCAGCGGCAAAGATGGCCCAGGTCAGCGGAGTCTCATTCATTATTCAAACACTCATTTGTGTGGTCAAGCGAGCAGCCCGAATGTGATTCATATGAACTTTACAGAAATGGAACAGGTTCTGATTTCCCCGTCGCCAAAAGTAAACCCGGGTGCTATATTTTTAGAGCAGCTGCGTCTAATGGGGCCTGGCAGGTACAGGAGGCGTCACATCTGTCGAAGACCAGGTGATGCCCCCCTCCCCCCTCCCACATGCTCACCCCCTCCCATACCCGCTCGCCACCAGTCAAATGACTCACACTGAAGATCAACAGTGTCATTTCCAATAAACTTCTCTTCCTCTTCCTGCCACTTTCCATCAGTTCTGGCGATGGCTTCTTGCTAGTCGCCATTTCATTCCACAACGGGGAGAAATAGGGAAATGCATAATGTTCAAGTTGTACAAAAACACAAATGCTCTGTCAAATTCTGGGGTACTTGAATAATTCATTGGAAAACCCTGGAAATTTTAACCGCTAGGAAGAAGCAAGTACTATATAGCCAGGATCCATAACAAGGTTCGGTTTGTAATAGGATTGTCGGTGGTTGCAGGTTCTTAATTCCTTCATATTTGTACATAATCTCTTGCATAATCAAATTACAACCACTTGTATACCTTAACAAAATCACATGTACGTTATCAGTACTTTTTTAAACTAATAGTATTTTGAACAAAGAAGGAACTTGTTCACTACTGTTGCAAATGAGAACAGCTATATCCTGTGCATTACAAAGAAAGATTTCACTCTTTCCTGTCAATGCCCAACACCTGTGACACCATGTCAACCTTTGATAAAGACAAGACGCAGTCTAACATCGTATGTATTCATTCGCTTTAAACAGAATAAAGCATCTTGCAGATCTGAACTACGCCTACCTGAGCAAAACATCCTCTTATTCTATAGCTCAAACCTAAAACCCACAGCGCACACAGCATCACCACTATCAAACATCTCACTGGCTGACTTGAATAGCTCACCGGAAACACAAATATATCTGCCTTTACACCAGGACTGGGGTGGGGGTGGCACACGGCACCACTGTAAGATCAATAACAACAGCAGCAGCAGCAGTAGCGCTAACACAGCCGACTGCTGATAAAAGTGGGGCTTCAGATGCACTCTAGCTCCTCAGCTCAGCACAACTATAGAGTGTGTTGTCTTCTTTCCTTACACCCTTTCTCTCTCTCTCCCTCTCTCCATCTAGAAGACAGGAAGCTCTTTGTGGGAATGCTGGGCAAACAGCAGAGTGAGGATGACGTGCGTCGCCTTTTCGAGACCTTTGGCCAGATCGAGGAGTGCACCGTGCTGCGAGGGCCTGATGGGGCCAGTAAGGGTCAGAGCCACCCACCACACACCTCCATCACAGACTAGTGTCCTGTCCCCAATACACCACCATTAGGGGTGCAACAATACTCAATATAATAGTTCAATACATGTGGCTCAATATGCTCATGTAACTGATACGTTCACGATACATATGAAAACAGCCCCATAAACACTATATTTCAAACTTTATGTTTTTTAACATTTGAAACAGATAACATTTGTTTTTGTTCTTCTGAGACATAATACATATTGAAATCACATTGATATCATGTTTATATTATATTGATATTGTGACCCATGTATCGATACACATCAAATCATGAGAAAACTGCATTGCTGCATCCCTATCGACTGCCACCATCCTGAAATTTCCTGCAGATTACTAGTGCCTAACCTTATTCTAATCCCCAACCTTAACCTATTTTGACTCAAATCTTAACTTTAAATCATGTTGTTATATAATAGTGGCTGCACAATGGCAAAGCAGTTAGTGCTCTTGCCTCACAGGAAGAAGGTCCTGGTTCGATTCTGGGGCAGTGCGGGGTTTTTCTGTGTGGAGTTTGCATGTTCTCCCCTCTGGATGCTCCAGTTTCCCCTACCACTAAAAAAATGCACAATAGGGTCAATCTGTGGGGCCAGGACTCCACTGAAAAAGAGATCCTTAATCTTCAAATAAATAAAATATAGTATTTACATCACAAGGACCTGTCCCAATAATCTAAATGTGTAAACTGATTTGATTACCCACAATGTGATAAATACCTAGCCCTCACAGAGCTGTGTCCAGTGAGTCCTCCAATACACCTCCATAAATGCTGTTTAGGGACATCACACTGACATGGATTCATGGATTCATGGATTTTCTGGAGACTGACCTGAACTTTAACCCTAGTACTACTTGCCTAACCTTAACCTAAGCTCTGATTTTAACCTATTTTATCCCATATCTGAGCCTCAACCCTTGTTCTTCATATTATAATAATGCATTTACATCATGACAACTTGTTTTTTGTTCCCATAAAGGAGTCAGGTGTTCATGGCGTGAGTGTAGAGATTTTCATACCCACAATGTGATAAATATGTGACCATGACAGACTAGTGTCCCCTCTGTCCCCCAATACTCCTCCATCACAGAGTTGTGTCCAGTCTGTCCTCTGTCTGACCCCTGTCTGTCCACTTTATTCTTCTCTTCTTCCTTCACCTTCCCTCTTTTCTTTTTTCACCTCTGCTGGTTTTAAAACACCAATGTCAGGCAAAGTTACTGCAGATTGTTTGACATATAAATGAGCCAAGGAGGATATTTAAATGAGAAACATAAATACATGGTAGCTTTGTACTACCAATAATTATACTATGACTAATAATAACTCATAGCACTAAAGTCACAATAACCATCGTACAATCCAAGTTTCAAAAAAAAAAAAAAAAAAAGACAACAGTTTCAAAATACATTATTTCTATTCACTTGGATGGAATTAACAATTTTTCTGTATTTTTTTTAATTTAAATTTTTGTTATTTTTTTCCTTGTTCAATAATTATTACACTAATAATTTAACTTCACAGACCACATTTGAAATAGATGGCTAAATGCATGGTTAAATTAAGATTCAGAATTTTATTAAAGGCTTTTTAATATTACAAACAGTGTGATCTGAAATGTGTTCTTGTTCTCTTAAAAAGACCTCTCCCTTCTCAGTCTGAAGCAGAGCTGATTTAAAATTCATAAAAAGGCTTTTTTTTTTTTTTTTTTTTTTGGCCATTGCGTCCTGACCTTTTCATTTGGTTTGTTCAATAATTACTACATTAATTATACAACTTTTCACAAACCACATTTGAAATGGATGGTTAAAATGCAAGGTTAAGTTCAGAGTCTTTCTTAAGTTTGCGTTTTATAGTTACATTTATGAATTTGAATCTGCCACACCTTCCAGTCTTCCATTGCTCACTCCTTTTTGCATTTCTTCTTCCCTTCCTTCTGCTCACTCTGCTTCCTCTGTCTCATTTTTCATCGCCATCCTCTTCTGTTGTCTCTTCATTACTGCAGCTCCACTCTCCACCCTGGGCTCGTACTCAACAAATACATCACAAACACCTTGTCTTTCCTCACCCCCCCTCTTCCCCCCTCCCCCTCCCTCCTCCTCACACTCTTCCTGTTATCAGCAAAGTGGAGGAGTGTAATCATGTTTGTTTCCCACATTCCCATCATCCCTCCCTGGAGACACCATTGGACGATAATGTCCTACTGTAAATAAAGCTGCCAGGCTGCGGGTTATGTTTCTGTCACTCACTTTGGTGCCGCACATTTCACCACATTTAGAGGCATTTGCTGTCATGTCGAAAGCGTATTATTTCTATTTACAACCCTTGTCAGATTTTACATCAACATGTATTCGAAGCTAAGGAGGTGCCCAATTTACCAAAGCATGGAAATGATTGGAGGTGGGTTGAGTGCCCAAAATAGTGCTCAAGTTAGGTGAAAATAATGGTAATCAAGAAGTAAAAATCCACATAATTACTGTAGTGCAACTAAAAAAGTTTTAAAACCAAGTGTAACCTTTTGAAGTTAGTGTTGATATAATAAGATGATTTTTTTTTCTTGGATTGTCAAAAGTATTGATACCCAGATACTAATCAATCTATGTATCTGAGCTATTGAACCTAAAAAAAAAAAAGTAAATCACATATAACAAACCTGACCTTTTCTGAGTGGTTATAAAATGTTCTTGATCTATATCAGAATTAGTAAAATCAAATGGTGATATTAAAATGGCCATACTGACTTGCCAAAACCTGATCTTGTCAAATCTCAGCTAAGCTAAGCAGGGCTGAGCCAGGTTAGTACTTGGATGTGAGACCACTATAAATTGAAGGTGCCACTGTAGGGCTTCAGTGTCCTTGGGCAAGGCATTTCACCCAGTTTTTCTAGTATGAATATAGTGTATGAATGAGCGTTGGTGGTGGTTGAACAGACTGTTGGTGCAGATTGGCAGCCTTGCTTCTGTCAGTCTGCCCCAGGGCAGTTGTGGCTACAATAGTATCTTATTGCTGGTTTTCAGATGACATCAGCACATTCTATAGGCCAATAATATTTAGTACAGATGTGGGGCAGCTAAAATTGATATTCTTAAAATGCAGATTTAGTTGTAATACCCTGAGAAACAATCATCATTTGTGAATTTAGGTTTTGGATATTTCATGGCAAAGTACAATGTAATCAATGGGGTGAATGAGTAACGCCCTGCAGAGCACTTTTGGCATCTTGAAAGGCACTATATCACTATATCAATCAGATTCCTAATTATTATTACTAAAGAAGTAACAAGCTTTTTTTTCCTTAGTATCAAAATCAAGCTTAAATCTTTAGTCCTGACTAAAACACACATATTGTTAGGGAATTATATAGAAATATTGAAATATGCTCTTGTTCTCCCAGAAAGACATCTCCCTGCCCAGTCTGAAGCAGAGTTGATATAAAATGCATAGAGTATTTCTGGAGATTGTGCCATTTTAGCTGTAGCAAGTGAGATTCAGCCTATGTGAACAGCAGTATTTGAACACAGGATTGGTAAAAGTTTTCCATTAACAGGGCTATAGAAGGCTGCACTAACGTCTAAATATTTGATGCAGCAACCTTTTCTGTTGGACCACATAGAAAATCCTGCACAAATTGAGTTAAAGTTGTCAGGGGAGCAGGGGTGTCTCAATGTTTTAAGTACAAAAATAATACAATTATTTTTGACAATATGGTCCATGTAATAAAAACTCATTCACATTATGAATAGTCATGATTTAATATCTTGTACATTTCACAAGTCATATACAATCTATAATCTTATTCTTGATTAACCATTGTACATCTTGTCATGAATCCTCTGCTATTCTTTGTCCCTTTTTCCATTTTGCCTGTCTCTGTACCATGCATTCTCTCTCTCCAAGTACCCCAGATGTTCAGAGTTGATTGACAGCCCATAAAATGAAAAGGGCTTGCTGCAGGAGCTAGTTTTCTCCCTCATTCAGACTGTGGCTCGGTGTCACCTGCGCCTTCCTTCACACTCATCAACTGTTGTCTTTCTACTGTCTCCTGTGTGCTATTACTATTTGTGTTTAAATCAATACGATCATCGCTCCTTGGCCAAACTTTTATTGTTTAAACCTCCAGAGGATTCTAAGTTCACGGCTTAAATGGTACAGTGCTCATCTGGTATTTAATTTTACCTACTTTTCAGCAGTCCCATGCAATCATTACAGGATGTTACGGCAAATTATTTTGCCAGCTCCCACACTTGGGATGGGGTTTGTGTAATTTGAATGAGACAGACCTTGAAATGACAGTGCTATCTGTTCCATGATGGAGGCTTTGTCCCCTGTTGATGTAAATGTATGCTACTCTGAGACTTTTCAGTGGCCCTCTCCACCAGTCAAAAGGCAGAGAAGTTTAACATCCATCGCTTTACGCTGCTCCTCAAAGTACTTTCAAAGTGCAACACTTGCTGCCAGAGTTGAATAGAGCTTGGAATTGTCAGGAATAATAGAGAGATGGCTTTTAGGTCTATAATTAAGTTGTGTTATAAATGTCACCCATCCAGCGGGATGGAATTCATGCATACATATTATACCCCAGGAATTCAAAAGGCACAGCAGATCCCCTTTGCTTGAAAGCAATACAATTTCTGCCTTTCTTTCCCTCCTTCTCTCATTCGGAGCCATCAAATTCAAAAACCTAAATGTGCACTATAATTTATGAGGCTGTAGCACTCAGCTGGATTCTTTGGAGATGTTGCACTCTCACTTCCCTGTGTCCTTTTAGTGTCGCACAATTGGCTTTATCACAGTTTTTACGCTTTTATTTTGGAAAATAATGTGAGGCCCTTGTATGTTTGCTGTGACTTTGACTCTGCTGGTGTGTGCCAAGCTTTTTTTGGGAGGATTGAGGTCAGCGGGATCCTGGCACAGTATCTGATAGTCATTTTGGTGAACGCCACTTAGCTCTCGCTAGAAACCAAAAGGGTTTCACACAATGAAAGTGCCTCCAATTACATTAAACTACAAAGGTTAAATATGTTTGTTCTCCCACACTCACATTCTCAGTCAGAGGGCACCAGTGTTTCAGAGGACCTTTTGTGACCATGGTGAAGTCAAAGAGCAACAGAACTCTGTGTCAAAGCATTTTATCACTTTGCGTCTGTAGATCTATACCACTTTGGGAACCTGAACAAAAGACTTGGCCTTTTCTACTGTCTAATTTCAGAGAGATTGTTATCCTTCGAATTGTACAGAGAGTGTGTTTTTAGACATAGACTGTCCTCAGATGCCTTGTCACATGTAGCTATACCCTTCAGCTTGAGACCTCTGCATTTGTCAAAGAAATGTTAATTTATGTTACATGGAAGCAAAGATGACACTTGGTGGATTATTAGCAGGGCTTGTAAGGGCCTTTCTTGGCCACCTATCGTAGTTCATTTAAATGGGTCATCACATTTCCTTAGAGAGCACAGAAATGTATCAAAGTAACAAAAATATATAACTTTTGAAAAACTTGTCAGAGGATGAAAACCTGGGACTGAACTTTGGAGAAGGTTCAGAGACCGCCCTGTCTTGATTAATGAAAAGGTGACGGAATTAGTGTGCAAGTTTGTTAATTAGGTATATCTTTTGATTTAACACATCGACTACCTGAAGGCAAGGATGAGAATTGGACATAACAGAGTAGCTCTTCCACTCTAGTACCATCATAAAACTTAGAGAAATCGCCTCTCTTTAATTTAATAGCTTTTGGAAATTTACCAGATTTTACTGTGACGGTATATCAGTCCTGGGGCTTTTTCTTTATGTTGTTTAAATGTAGTTTATAGATTGCCCTGACTTGTCCATTGACACACACTAACTCAACATTAGGTTGTATAGCTTGTGTTATTATCATGGTAAATCAGTTTTTTATATATTTTAGCTATTTGAAATGTTAATACAATAGTGCTCCAGAATGCTGTCGCCACTGGCTGCTCTTTTGTCTCTGGGCCAACTTTTATGTTGACTGCGCAGCGTGCATAAACTACACACAACTGATTTGAGATCATTTGAATACCCCTTGAGCAAAAAGCCTCTCCCTCCAGTCTGAAATTACACACAAGCAGAGATCCGGTTAGATGGACAGATTATAATACTATGTCATCATAATCTCTTTTCTGAGTGACTGCACACAAATCACAATGTGTAAATATTAAACAGATTAATAATCACAAGCAAGTCAGGCTAGTAAACGCCTTGCCTCTATTCACCAAAGTGGAATAAGAAAAAGGAAGCGGACAGGATGTTCGGCAGAGCTGTTGTCCCCAACGACAATTGATAATCTAATTTATTCACTTTTCAGCACCAACAAATTAATGGCAGAATCTATTTAGAAAGCAGAAACAATGGTGGTGTTTCCATATGCAAGGCTATCTCACTCATTATGTGTTTCTTTCTGTTTTGTTTGTCTGTGCAGGCTGTGCCTTTGTCAAGTTTTCCAGCCACGCAGAAGCCCAGGCAGCCATCAACAGCTTACATGGGGGACAAACTATGCCGGTAAGTAGAGAATAAACATAATAGTACTTTTGAATCAAATAGAGACAAATAGGGCTATGTCAAATATAAAGCTCCTACACATCGTCAGTAATTACTAATAATGATATGTGAATGCTTGTTTGTACACTTTGATCCTCTCCTTTGACTAAATGAGGTTTATACAGGAGGGTCTTTGCTGCCTTGAAGAAACTGCATGTATGATTTAGATTTAAAATGTCATAAACTTCACCCATCTGTGTGTCTCCAGATACGAGGTAAACATGATCAAATCAAATATAGCTTTTACAGATAATAATTATAATGTTCCTTTATTCTTAATTACAAAAAATGTGGGACATGAAGTTGCATTTATTTGTATTATAATTAGTTTTTTGGTTGTCAGAATTATTATCCAATCAGAAAGCAGAATGTGCCTCACATGAGTCTCTCATTTGGGTTGCCAGTTTCACTGTCACTACCTAAACCTGAGCCCCTGCAGCCTCTGGGTGAATTTTAGAGGTTCTGAGCTTTCACAAGAGGCATGTCCTTTCAGTATACTGGGAAATTTTGCACTGGCAACCCAGGTTCACCTTTACAAAAAACAAAACAAAAAAACAAAACAAAACAAACAAAAAAATAACAGTAGTGCATGCTAAATTTCTTTTAAGCCCAGTTACTGGAGTAGTAACTGTAAGTTATTGGAATACAAATCACCCAGTTTTAGGATCACATTGGGTGAATATGTCCTAGATTAACTAATATTCCACAAACATACGTTTTCAAAGCACGTCAACTACCCAACTCTCACATTCAGTTTTGCTATGAGCTTTAACAAAAGATTCCAGGAGTCAGCATTCACCACATTCACACAGTGGCATATTCAGTCCCTCTCTTTTAGACTCTATATATCCATGTCCTACTCTTTTCAAACTACCTTTTCAGCCAGAGATATGGTGTTTACATTCACACCCCTATCAAGATGTGATTACTTTGCACAGTGCATGAATCTTTAAACATGTCCTCCGGAGATATTGTATGGTATATGATACTGTGATATTACGGACTGCCAAAGGTTCAGAATGAAGTCCAAGGATAGTTAGATGAAAATGCACCTCCTATATTTGCCCAGTCTAGAAGTCAGTACAGAAGTATATAGGTAAGTAAACATACCTAAGATTCATCATTTTAAAAGTAAGAGCAGCTCTATTAACCTGATGGTGCATTTGGGAATTAGTGTGAAATTAGTTGCTACGTTGCTGAAGTAGTCTTAGTCGTGTTCACAGCAAAAGCATAAAATTGTTGCAATAAACTTTTGAACTTAAAATTGGGAAATGTCTAGGCACATGCTTTTATGGGTTATTTCGATTATCTTTGCGTAAAACATTTCTGCCACTGCAGAATGAAAATGCCAGGGGCAGATCTACAAGCACTATTAATACATTTGGATGGTTTGTTACAGTTACTGATGGATACAGTACTTACTCTACATGAATAAATAAATAAATAAGTTTCAAATTTGCCTAATGTACAAAAAATGCATGTATGTTTTGGGTGGACTGGTGAATCAAGCATCAAATGCAATAGGGATGCCTTCAAAGACATTTTCATAAGTGATATGATTTAGACTGTATTTGGCTGTGACATCTAAAATTCTGTCTAGGTTTTCTCACACTTGGCTTCTCTCCATTTCCTCTTAAAAGCAAAAGGGTTGAGATGCGGCTATTTATCTTCATATATTATGAAACAGTCTCTGACTTTAAATAGGCAGAAATGATTGGCGTCCCCGCTCACTCCAGGGAACCTTGGCACTTCTGTTTTGGTTTGCTGATGTAAGTGTCTATTTGTGTGTACACAAAAGTCTATGGGGACTTGCTAATGCATTTGTCCACTCTATTACAGAGTTAAGTTTGTGAGTCAGCCTCATACATCTGGAACTATTATCCATCTCCTTTTACACTAATTGTAATTTCCTTTTTCTTCTGTCACCAGTGAAGACTAAGTAAAAGAAATAATGAATTATGAGGCATTATACAGGCCGAGCTTTGCATTGAGTACTGCACAGCTGGACACGCACGCAGGCACTCACTTTTGCTGGCAGGCGCCCATACCTTCACACACTCCACTGATGTTCCGCAATAAATATTTACGGATGCTTCCTGGCAGTCAGAGAGTGTGCTGGAAGCCAGATGTAATTTACACATCTTTTTGATGCCGTCTCATTTTGCATTACATTGAAGTAGTGAGAGAGAGACTGATAAACTGGTGGAGTCATTTCAACTTTGTGTACAGTGGAAGCCAAACTTTTTCTCGTATAATTCACAAGGGTCTGGTTTTAATAAGCACAAAACCTGAATAATGACTTTGTTGTTCACTTGCATTGGTAAGCATAACTATTATAAAATATTATAATATATACTTAAATTAGATATTTAATGATTTTACATTCCTACTTTACACTATTTTTCACATATTGCATCTAATGGGCTTTTAATGAGTCTTTTTCAATCCAATGAAATCACAGAACAATAATAGTTATAAACTCTACACATCTTAAAAATGCTTTAAATTGTCAGCACTTCACCACACCTGCTCTTACCACATCAAGTTTGAATGGATTTAGGATATGATACTCCCCTGGCAGAGTTCTACAAGAGTGCATAGCTAGAGCATTAGTCATTGTCTAAATGAAAAGTTTTAAATTGATGGGCAAACTACAGCTCCTGTGCAAAGTTGTTGCTTGGTTGTGAAATTTACTATTGAAAATAGTGCACACTTCAATACTATGCACTGCAAAAAAAACAAATCTTTAATGATGCAATGATAGTTTTACAAGGAGATGGGACCAATCCATCTGAGGTAGTTTAAATGATCTAAGTTAATGATTGTATAAATATCTCCTCCATCTCTGCACCTGTTATCCACCGCGTCCAAAACCTAACTGCCTTTCAGATTAATTGGCAAGGTGGCCATTAGCACCCGGCTAAGGCTGTGGTACCGATGGGCTACACAGTTAATTTGGATAATATCAGTGCCACATGTCGTCAACAACAGACTAACAGGAGGCGTGATTCGGCTGCTCGGCTGCTCTGCCTCTGCCCACTGCCAGCTGTGGTCTAGATGAACCTTGAACAAAGAAGTGCCTCTCTCTCTCCTTTCCTAATGTTCTCTCTGCAGCATCTGTGTTACCTGGCACACGCACTCACGCCATCATTAATACCTACAGCAAAATACGCTGGCCTCAAATGAAAGGCTGTAATGAAGTTTAAGGGCGCGCCATGCCACTAAAGGGCACGCACTGATAGATGCGGTCATAGCTTTAATTGATGTTTATTGTGCTTTGCAGGTGCTTCCGAAATTGACTTTAAAGGGAGATTGGGCACGGGGAGCTGTGCTAACTGGTTCAGCTGTTGTATGGGTGTCAGGAAGCGAAGGGGCAGGTGGCTTGGGTTCAGATGGCAGGGAGAAGCAGACAGGAGCAGTGTCATGTTCAGTGTCACGCCATGGAAGTCTGGACACAGTACTGTGGATAACAAGGCTCACTATACATGATAGTGTAGAGAGATACTATACAGGAGAAATATATATGAAACCTAAGTTTTGTGTATATTATTTGGGGTGCAGTCTGTAAATGTAGAACTGCAAGCTGAACCACAATTGATTACCTCATAATATAATGGGTAATGAATTGTATATTGAACTAAAAGAAGCATTCTGGAACTTATTATTTTATTACGGGTACTATGTTTTGATTTTGTTTTGATTTTCTTTCATTTAAAAATAAGCACAGTATTTCTAAAGCATTTTCCGCCTTTAACAAGTTTGCCAATGGTTATTCAACTTCAATTGTATCTTATAATGATGATGAGAGATAGGCCTATTTATTAGTGATGAGGACTATACGGATGGAAATTAGCTCCATTCTAAATTCTGCATATTTACACAAATCACTGTGCAGTACTATCCTAAAACACCTTTTTAAAATAGTCTAGAGAGGTGTAACATTTAAATGAAGATAATTTTTTTTTTACACTACAGTATTTTCTCCCTCTCTTACCACTAAGCAAGTAAGTCACTGTGACCCAGGCATGGCTGTTTTTGGCTAGTGTAATTTGGGAGTGTGCTGACTGTCCACTGTAGGGACTAAAGTAGGTGTATAAACTAGGCTAAGTAACCCTTTAAAGCTATTTTTACTATAGCGGTCACTGTGTTGTGGGAACATACACACTACTCTTTTTATGCAATGCAAATTCACCTGCTGTACCTGATGGTTCTAATCCCTTTATTACTATTGGTATTTCCCTCCCTATACTTTCTGTAGGCCCATACGGAAATCCAATTCAGGAGATTTTCACAAGTCAAGTGTGTTGTTGAGGGAATTAGATTAGTTTTTGAACCCATGACAAATTCCTTAGTTGTACCTGTCAAAAGTGAAGGCTCCCTGTTGGCCTTTATCAAATTCAGCAAATTCATTTTCTCTCCAGGTATAGGACCCATGCCGGCTCGGGTTATTATTCTGTTTGTTTGTCAGCTTGTGATTTTCAACTCGCAGTGAGGAGTGGCTGCATTTGCATCCACTGCCCATGGTCTGCTGCCACCTGTTTCTTAATTAAGTGTCCATATAATATTGTTTCATGTGGGATGATTCAGCCATGAAGAGATTTCATTCAGTTCGTTTTTCTTTCTGGGGTCGTCACAACAAATAGGCTGTTTCTTTGAGTGCAGTGTTTTGCATATTGATTCGGAATTTGACAATCCACACACACAGAACTAGCAAATGGCGGCAAATTGGCTTGTACTCTCCAAGAAAGTCATGGGTTCAATAGGTTGGATTCACGGGTTCACAGTTAAAAATTGAGCTGGAGGGCTTGTTAGAATTCTATGGTAGAATTAGCTGTTAAACTGTCAGAAGGCAGATTTGTTGAGCTGGCTTATTGTGAATATCTGTAATTACTGAGCCTATCCAAAGAAATAAAAACTAGCACAACATTCAACATATTCTCTGTCAGTGTAAATAAACTAAATTGAAATTATGTTTTTACAACTTCAGAATGTGGTGCCATTACTCAACCTCAAAATTGTGATTGTTATCAGCTGAAAGGACTATTAAAAAAATGAAAACAAACAACAAGATTTAAGATTTGTGGACATATATTCATTCTGAACATATCATATTTTGCTTTAGATTGTTAATTGCTATGGCAATGGTCCAAATTTTTCATCAATGTCCATTTGAAATCATGGTATCAAATTGTAAAAACAACCTATTGCAGGATGTGGCGTTTCCATGCTCCATGCTGTTGGGGCGTGTTTCTTCACGGTGCTTCAGTTTCTATACAGTATTTAATGTATGTATATTTTTTCTTAAGTAGTACTCAAATGGTTGCTCCACCGCAGTTTGGGACACACTAAAATTAGAGGATATGGGATCCTTCCTGCAAATGGACGATAATAGCGCACTTCATCTCAGCCACAACAGTTAGGCTCTTAAAGTTGGGATTGCTTGGACCCTGACGAGACTTGCTGTGCTTTCGACACCTGCAGAGGCTGCGATAGTGCTTCAGTGTTGCTGCCAAAGTCGCTCAGAAAAGACATTGTAGCCTGCCTCCACTCCGCTGCCACAAAAGCACTGTGCCGTAGAGAGAGGAGCAGAAGCCAGACCAGGCCAGACTACACCCTGAGTCACCAAGCACAAGCTACACCCCGCGGCTTTCCCTGCTCATGCGGCGGATGCTCACAATGTATTCTGCATGAGGTATTAAGTGAACATAAGAATACACCGGATACACAAAGCAGAAAATGGAAGTGATCTAAATGCCAGGCGGTGCTGCAGGCAGGCCCGGGTGCCACGCTGCTGGTAGAAAGCATGTTTGCTCAGTACTATTCTCATTAAATCCAACTGCGCAGTCCCTCCAAACTGGTCCATGGAGTTGAGAAAGTGGTGTAAAAGGTCAGCAAGTGGAAGGAAATGAAATTAGAATGGAAAAGTGTGCCATTAACACTGCCACGTCAGACTATTGATTTAACTAATTGAAATGGCATCGAGGGAGGAGTAGCCTCCTCCTGGAGCAGGGCTGTCTGACTCAGATAGTGTCCCCACTGAGGTGCACCGTCCAAACGGTTCACACATCCACCACATTTACTGATGTGACTGGAATATAGAGAATTTCTAGAAAGCAAGTCATTGTGTGAAGATAGCCCAAAACTGTGCTGGCATCGTAACAGACAACCTTGATCACGACTGGGCTTGTCTCTTAAATGGTATTATTATTTTAAAGAAGAAAAACAAAAATGAGCTCTAAATCAAAGTGTGAATTTGTCCTGACCCCGTCTGGATGAGACATTTTATGAAGCGCTGTTTCATGTTGTGATTATGGGGTACTTTTCGCTCTGTGTCTTTGCTTTTATGATCTTACTAATCGTGTCCGGACTGCCCCTTGGCTGCATGCGTCCTTCTGTCCTGGTGCTGCTCTGTGCTCTTTCCCAGCATGCACTGCCTGTAATTAAATAGAAGCCTGGTCCTCTTGACAGTATCTATGGCTACTTTCTCTGCCTGGCAGCATCCTCATCCTCTCTGTCTGTCTGTTTGTCTGTCTGGGTGTCACATGAGGAACCGGGTCTGCTCTTTGTCTCTCAAATGATTTAATTGGATGCAAACTGAGGAGCAGAGACATCAATACAGAAGTATATCTGCCATAAGGCAAAGCCATTAGTCAATAGTTTGCCCTGCACATGCCGAAGGCTTTTGTCAGACCTAATTACCCAGGACAGGAGTCAGTGGAGCTTCACCGGGAGGGGACAGAGGCTCCTGGGACCTGCGGAGGAGCACAGTTCATTCACAGTGTATACACTGAGTTGGAAAGTTCACAAAAGCAAACATCAGTCAGAAGTCAATTACAAGCATTCAGACTGACTACATTTAATGTACTATAACGATGAGCTTTATGTGAAAACTCCATGTGTACAGTACATTATACACAGCACTTCATTGGTGCTATTCCGTATGAAATTTGAAATGAAATGACATGTTGTGAAGTATATTTTCTTTATGTTAATTTCCCTGGAGACACATGCATCTTACAGCAAAGGGGTCCAATGAACAGCTGAGTGTATTTATATAGAACTAAAGTATGGCATATTTTTATAAGATGTGTGTGACTGATGAGCTCTGTTGTGTGTGGTTGCAGGGTGCCTCTTCCAGTCTGGTAGTTAAGTTTGCAGACACTGATAAGGAGAGGACCCTGCGCAGGATGCACCAGATGGCCGGGCAGCTCGGCATCTTCAGTCCCATGACCATCCAGTTTGGGGCCTATGGCGCCTACTCTCATGCTGTAAGTCTGAGCCCGGCGGGGGAGGAGACGGTGAGCTTTAAAAAAGAAACCACAAACTGTTGTGATTAAGCTTTGAACTCACTCTCTCCCAATAGGTACGCGGCGCCCCCTGTGTAATTTACACCATTAAATGCTTGCTGTAATCTCAATTTACATAGCATTATTGTATCACTGTTTATCCTCTGCCTCTTCTGTTTAATACAAATCATTATCATATATGCACAGTGTGAAACTTTGAACTGTTGCTAATAACTGTGTTTGGATCCCACATTAATGGATTTGTGAATTTAAATATGTACCTGCCTGTATAACCATTATTCTTCCTGTAGGTTACAAGCAGAGAGACAGACCCCTGTGAAAGCATGCTTGCCTCATATTTTTAACTTTTTTCCCTACACACTCACACACCCATCCCCCATTTTATATTCACACATGAAAGTCACAGCCTGAATTAGGAGTCGGTGAGATTTTGCACTCACACAGTAGCTAACAACTCACTCTGACAGGTGAGAATCGCCCACTCATGCACAATCACTGCACAAACTCTGCTTCCAAGCCCATATATACATGTACTACCTGGGTTTGTATCTTTTTCCCAAACTCACTTCACATTAGCTTTATCTAGCAGTAACATAATGAGCTCCAGAGCATTTTATCAGTGGGATGGAGGAGCAGAGCTGTAGGGCAACACCGAGTACCCTGTTTGAGAACAAGGCATTGGCCAGGCAAACAGACATGCAAGAGTAAACATGCTCCAGTCTTGAGGCTATTTCACCTTCCTCTTCTTTCTCTACCTTTCCCTTACCCTCCCTTGCCCTGCCTTCCCCTCCTCCACCCATCCCCACTCTCCCCGTTGCTCTCTAATCCTACAGCAGATGATGCAACAGCAAGCCGCCCTGATGGCTGCCACACAAGGCTCGTACCTGAACCCCATGGCAGCCATCGCAGCAGCGCAAATGCAGCAAATGGCAGCTTTCAATGTCAACGGACTGGTGGCGACTCCCATGACTCCCTCCTCAGGTACGCAAACAGGTTTTCCAGCGCAATAACTCAGTGAGCCATATGCAAACAATAGGGGATTTATAGAGATGTGTTAATGTTGTGAAATCATAAGGTTGACAAGGGTTTATGTTAAAACACCAGCATTAAAAGATAAATCAAACATGCAATCTTAGAATCTTATTATTCTCATAGTGATTAAGGTAAGAATTTTTGACTACTAATGTGAATAGGTTGCTCAATATATAGATCACTCCCAAATCTCTTTTTGGATTGACAATATGAAAGCTCTTTTATGTGTTTCTATTGGTGGTTTTCAGATTCTTGAATGCAATGAGTACATGCTCCCAGATGGGGGACAAGAGCCAGTTTTATCTATTGATAACATTGTATTTGACTGAAAAATATCTGAAAGGTAAATTCATAAATGTTGAAAATGATCATTGACCAGACCCAAGAACTCACTGTATTACAACAAAAATCTGCTTTCCAACTATATTAACATTAGCTGCCACCCATCTGCATTAAATAACATAAGCTTTTAACATAGGCTAGAATATTATGATGTCATCTGACAACCAGCAATATATTTTTTCTTGTGTAATTGCTCACTGTGATATAATAAAGTATCATGACATCATTTGTGTACATAGCTTTCTCCAATGCACGGCCTTAGAAAACTTTTGTCATGGCCCTGGAATATCTAACTTTTATATCTAACCAGAGAATCAGTAATAATACATCCTGTGCCCTTGTAGCATTTTCAAGTTGTGTTCTGAAGTAGGAGCTGGTACGAGCAGAACCGGAGCTGAGACGTGCATTGACAGTAACATGTAAAACATTCCCTGTCACACATTGGCAGCCACATTACAGTCATTCTCGGGCTGCTATTATCTCTCCCTCTGCTTCATCTGTCGCTCCTTTCCTCAGCAGCAGAATGACAGTATGTATTTTCTGGGAACACGGCCAATTCACTGACTTTGGATGCCGAGTCCTTTGCTTATACAATATAAGAGCAAAGATTTGTGTGCGATAATCCTGGCCTTCAATCTGAACTATCTTTTTTGGCTCTTGTCGTGAGGAGCTTTGATGGCTCGACACTAAGTAGGTCGCCCGCCTGAAGCTGGGGTCACTGCAGATGTATTAAATAAAGTGTCTGTATGCTGTATATGGCATCTGTAATCCACAAGGCCTACACATTCCTTTCAAACATAATCCTACCTGACTTAAATGCCCTTCACCTGGATTAGAGAAATAATAAAACAGGCCCAAACTGTCAAGGTGACAGACTGGGATTAACGCCTGGAGTAAAATCAACACAACTATAAGGTCTCACTGGTCAGTTTGGCAATAATACTGATGTAAACAATAATTAATTTTCTAATCAAACAAATATTATGCCGCGGTCTTCAGAAGATAATTGTAAAGCTGTATATTTAATGGGTATTAATGTGTTTACAGGCACCAGCACACCTCCAGGCATCAGTGCCACTGCCGTCCCCAGCATAGCCACGCCCATTGGAGTGAATGGATTCAGTGCCCTCCCGCCACAAAGCAATGGGCAGCCAACGTCCGAGCCCATCTACACCAATGGGATCCACCCTTACCCAGGTAAACCAGGAAATAGGAGGCATATCAGAATATTTTGTATTCATTCTAAACATTCTGATGATCCAAAGATCCAATCAGAAAGCAATAATAGCGATATAAATAGTCTATGGTCTGTTTTAAGAGTACTCAGATTTTGACACTTTAAATTAAGGTTCTTTAGTAAAGGCACTAGTCAGTGTTTTTGAAGCATGTATAAATATTTGACTGGAATGAACCCAATAAAGCATGTATAAGATTTGTGAGCTGGACACAATGATATTTAAATCTAAAAATAATGCTCTCCAGTGCCCTCTAAAAGTTTTAATTGGAAAATATCATAAACGAATATTTGTTTGTTGTGGACAAATTACAGAGATCTTATTTGTGATGGGGAACAATCTGACAAAGTCTCATCTTTCTAGATTTGAAAGTGAATAAAGGATGGAAAATCACTGCTTCTACCTCAAATTTGAAGTAATAACAAAGTATTCAAATATTTAATTAGTTCTTGTTTTGTTTTTGACACTTGCTGTTCTGCGGGGGGAGGGCACAATAACATATTCTGTATGAAACATGATGATGTGTCACAACAAAATGTTGAACAAGCTGTATAGGTATAGGGGGCTCTATTGGAATGTGAGCTCCTCCATTGTTGGACCTTGAGTTAGTTCTGGGAGGGTCTCAAGTCCAGAGACCTGCTTGAGTCCTGGGAGGATCTCGAGTCAAGGGATAAGCTTGAGTCCTGGGGTCTCCTTGAGTTCTGAGATCTCCTCAAGTCCTGGGATGTCCAACTTCATCCTTCTCAGGTTCAGGAGGGAAGAGACTTTAGATGTCTTCTACAATGAGGTCAGTGATGGCCTTCAGCAGGCCGGAGCAGAAGGATTTCAGAAACTCCTCCAGTGCATCATGGGGACACATTTGATAGATCCTCTTTATAATCTTCAGAATCATTTGGTCCTGAATACAGCCTGAAAAGTGCACTCTCTGGAGCATGTTTCCCAGAGCTTCAGTGACACTATCCAGGACACGATGGTCCAACATATCTAGCTGAGACGATGGCATGCTGAACACGCCCGCATCAGGCTGCCACAGGCCGTGGGAGATCTTTCGGACAACCGCCAGTACCACATCCCTGGGTTGGAGCTGGCAGGGACAGTCCTCTGTCAGCTCAGACAAAGTGTCTGAAAACTCCTAAGCCAGGTGGAGGATTCATTTCAAACAGACATGATAATCAACAGTATGTGTGACCTACAGAAAGTTCTCCGGGTTGTCTTCAGGAGACATGTCGAGTCACCTTGCTTCAAATATAGATGTAAACCAGGTCCAGCATCACACTGACTTTAAATAGTCGTAGTAATGCTTTAGAATTAGATTCCCATTTAAACAGATTTTTGAGGTGGAAACTATTTTCAATATTTTTTCTTGGGACCTTGACTCAAAATTAGAGCTCACTGAGTTTTAATTTTTGATACCAGTCACTGGCTTGCCCAGTCATGTTAATTACTTGACTTTGTGATTTCCAGTGCTCTGAATACAGTTTTAATTCATCCCTCGCCTACATTGCAAATATGTTGTTACAAAAGTACACTGTGTGTCTTATTAACAAGCTTATTTGTTGAGGCTTAACTTTGCTTAAAATCAAAAGTTATATTTTCATAGTATGATTATTCATGGTTACAATAGTAGAAAGATTAGGGAAGTTTATAAATTTTATAGTAATAAAGCCTTTGTAAATGTATTTATTAACCCGCCTTCTGTTATAATCAAATTAAGCATGTTTATTAAGGGCTTGAATACAACCAGCTTATTAAGTACAAGGAGCTTATTAAAGCTCATACTCATGGTTTATTAACATTATAAAACATCTACAAATGATAGACGCTTTTTAAGTGCTTATAAACAAATAACTAGTGCATATTATAGCGTTATAAATTCTTTACTAAGGAACCTAATTTTAAAGCATTGGAAAATTTTGTATTCTCAAGTTAATGTACAGTTACTTGGCTAAAAATGTTCTCAACTAAAAAATTATACTTAAAGCTACCATCTGTAATCAAATTGACTGGCCTGTGGTATTCTCACACATCACCACTAAAGTAAAATTGTGCATGAAAAATATTACTCTTACTAACTTTTCAATGGAATTTTAGTAGCAGCTTACATACAACTTGATTGATACAGCTGTTTAAAGTTGATTGATAATGTAGCCAATTATAATTACATGCCTAGAAGTACAGGTTATAAAATCTACTCCAAAAAGTACAATTACTCAGAAAATATACTCAGTTACAGTACTTTGAGATAGTACTAGTAATTTGTTCATTTCCATCTTTGGTTCTTGGTGCATGCTACTTACTGCTTACAGTTTCTTCAGCTGACAGGATAGTATTTACAGTGCATCAGCAAAATGTAAATGACAGCACCTGCTTGACTTGATTCCAAAACACATATTATATAACGCATGCTACTTGAAAAAAATTCAACTCATATGGTTTTGATTAAAAGTTGCAGCAGCTCTCCATCTGACATCTTTTTCATATCTGAACTGAGGCATTTTAAGCTTCCAGGGTCAGTCAAGAGTGTCTTCGGCAGATTTTGGAGCTGCCACCCTGAGTATCAGGATGAATTCATCACTTGTATCCATCAGTCCATTACGGTTAATTTGATGTGTCTCGTCCCGTCCTCAGCTTCTTAATGTTGTCTGGGGCTCATTCCTGAAGAACTGACAGACACACACTCCCCCTCTGTCACTGCATTATTCAGAGGCAGCTGCAATTGTAATGAACTACAAAGTGGTTTGTTTGGCATGTTGTTAATATTTGATGCAAACATCTGGGGCGAACAGGCATTTTGAAGAACTGAGAGAAATGACAACCCAAATTTCTCCCACTCCCACTGTGATCTTACCCTCCAACGCTCTCCCGCCAGCTTAGCCAATTTCCAATTTGGTCTCTCAGTGTAACTTAACTGTTTGTTGCCTTCACCAATGCCGCATTCATAACATTTAGAAACCCCACCCTCTTACTGTAAATAATGCAGATGAGCAAAACTGGTGAGATATTTGTGTCTTTAATTCATGAAAAAGATATTCCAACTAGTTTACAAAAGTGTGATCACTATAGCCTAACTTCTATAACTATCTAAAACTAGGCCTGCCACAATAATTGCTGTATTCTAGGGTTCAATATTTATCAGGTGTACATTTTTTGTTGTAATACGATAAGATTTGAACCATAGAGGGTTGAATAAGTTACTCCTATGGCTAATTATTAGTGAATTCTGTGATTATTTCTAGTAACTCATGCCTTTTAATGGTACTCATTATTTTAAAATTGGTTTACTGACTTGCTACTACTTTTCTACTTATTATCCTGCTTTGTGTCAGTGGCATAAAGCAGTTTCAATATTATCATTTATTGTGAGATTTCCCTGTAGTAGTATATTGTGTTTCAAAATTTGGTACCATGACAGGCCTATCTATAACTTATGACTATAGGATATGTTACTTTTACATAAAGGGCACTATGTAACTTTTCAGGTGTTGGTTTGCTATCTGATTCTCTCTATGGATATGTTATTACTTTGGAGTATCCCACAGCATGTCACTTGTGCAGCTTGCATGGATTCAATTACAGTTATTTTTATTTTTTCCAAAAATACCTTGAAAATATACATTTCTAGTGAAGCGGGGTCACCTCTCCACAGATCTGGCCTATTACTTGGCCCAGTTGCGTGACATGCTTGTTTTGACACATTTAATGCCACATGATGGAATGTCGTGGGTTAAGCAATAGCATCTCCAGGGAGACAAGTGAATCATGGACCCTCCACTTGAAAAGTTACAAAGTACGCCTTTAATCACAGCAAGTAGTACTAATTGCATATTGATTTGTTCTCTGTTTCACATTCAGCTTTACGAAGGGTTTATTTGCAAAAGAACAGATATCTCCTTGTGGAAAATCTGTCTTTTCTTCTTTTTGATACCATCTTCTACACGTGTTATTAATAACAGTATAGTTGAGGGGATTTGCTCAAGAATGGATGATATTTTTAAATTTGACTTTTGAAAACAGATATACAAAAAGTAAATTGTAAGCCTTTGACATGGCTCTCTCAAATTAACCCATCTCATCTGTATAACCATGTACTGTTCAAAAATACTTGAATGCTTTGGTTTAAATTGTCCACACTATGGTATTAAACTAAACTGCCTTGCATTTATTCAACTACAGGTGTTTTTTATTGCTCAAAAAATCCCTTAAAAATATCCATTCTTATTGTGAGTGGGGTCACCTCTCCACAACTCTAACCTGTAATTTGGCTTGCAAGTCTCCATAGAGATTTTATGGTTTTATGAGTTTATGGGCATACTGTGGAACATTGCAAGCACGTCTCCATGGAGACAAGCATGCACTTACAGAGTGCATCTTTAAGATTCAGAAAGCAAAACGTACTGCTTAAAATACCCTATTCAAATACAAACAGTGTTTCTTAGTTGGTGTTGTTTTGCCCCCTGCCAGATCACACCATGACGCAATGACTGTAACTACAAAAACAACATATGCAAATGTATTGTGAAGCTCCATATTTGTTTTCCACAACATGTTTTTCAAATGTACAATGTAACTTGAAGGGAAGTGTATGAAATTTGGCTGGAGTCTTCTTCTCAGTCACCTGTGTTTCTGGCTCTCTTCCTGTTCCTGCAGCACAGAGTCCAACGGTGACTGACCCTCTCCAACAGGCTTATGCTGGCGTCCAACACTACGCAGGTGAGCTGTCTCTCCTCTACCGGCTCATCCCCCTCTTCTTTCTCTCCTCCATCTGTCCCCTTCACACTACACTTGTGTTTGTCACATTACTATGACAGGCAGAGATCGCAGAAGACTAGCCACGATTCTTTCTTGATTAGACAACTTGACACACATTTGGGATGGTTAATTTGAATGCATGTGATACTATATACTGCTAACAGCTAATCTGAACACACTACACTTTCCAAGAACGTCAACTGAATTAAGAGTTGCACAACACGCTAACTGTATATTTTGCAACATCAGCAATTCTGTTATGCCAGAGTTTTATTATGGGCTTTGCATCTACCATAGCTGTGCTCTATAGCCTGAAATTTAAAACAGTAGCACTAGTAGTAGTAAAACTAGTAGTAAAATAAATAAAAGGGAAAATAAATTGTCTAGTCTGTAGACAGCATCTTCCGGATTCAATTGAATCAACCCTTCACAAAACAGATTAATTGGTTTTGAAGCTCTTTTGGTTTAGTAACTACAAAAACTACTATTTTTCACTGTTTTTTACCTAATGACCTTCCAAGCACAATAATCATATCATCAAGATATTTTCCATGGTATATTTGAATTTAACACCAAACATAGACACCTTAAATCAAATAAGTTGATTTAAATGAAATTCATGCACGTTTATTCACCTCACTTGTCTTAATTCTGTCATGATTCATACCTGACACAAAGTTTCCTGTAGTTCTATTCACTTTTCATTGTGTCAAGTTGTACAGTATTGTTTTATTTTTCCCTTTGCTACTCACTGTAATAATGCAGTTTATTTATGCAACATCAGATTCAAAATGCACTGAATTAATAGTATGACTTGTGTTGACTCAAATATAAAAATGCAGATGCAAAATAAATTTCCTCTCTGGCTTCTCCCTTTGCAACAGCAGCCTACCCTGCCGCCTATGCGCCAATCAGCCAAGCGTTCCCCCAGCAACCAACCATCATTCCCCAGCAACAGAGGGAAGGTAAGAGCTAGCGAGCGCGCCCACCCAAGATAAAAGGTGATAATTGCCATGTTCCATTCTAATGTAGCTACGCTGCTTTGAATTAGCAGGAAAGAGCTGGCTGGGGAAAATGTGAGAAAAAGGCTCCCCGTTTAAAGAGACCAACATTAGCAGTGAGATGGAAAGTTAGTCTGTCATTATTCAAAAACTGCACTAATTCCAACTCGCAGCATCGGACTGCTTAATCAGTCCATTACAATGTGTTTAAGTGGTTATAAATATTCATCACATTAATTAGCTGCATGCATAATCATTTATTGCCATTCCTAACATAGTGTTCACTCTTGTGCCATATAGCATTAGATGTAATAAAGCATAGGATATACTGTGACTGTAAATCACTCCATTTGGCAGAATTTGTCAGTCTCAATTATCTTTCTGTATGACTGCCCAAGACAGCCTGGAAAGACTTATATTCAGCATTTTAGGGACAGCACTTTAGTGTACTTTCAAAACTGCCTATGAGTGGAATTAGTTTTTAAGTATTATTTGACTGAAGCCAGCATGACAAATATAGAACTCAAAGTCATATTATTGATATAGGAATCAGTATGTGCAAATAAGGGCCATTCCAATCCCAGTTGAGAAGAAGCATTTGTCGTTTTCATTGAATCCCACTGGTTCTCTATTGCAGTGTTTCCCCATTCCCGAGGATAAGGGAGCACTTAGCAGGGGGTAGTTGAAAGGTGAAATTAATATGAATATACAAATGAAGATTTTCATTGTAAATTCTGGACATCAATATTATTATAACAAAAAAATGAAATGAAAAAGTAAACATATTCATTTGCCTATAGAAGTCAAGTTAGAACGTACTTTGGATGTGGAAGTGTGAGCAAAACTATTTAGTTTTATGCTAACTATGTCAGAATCAATCAATTTCCCTCCTTCGGTCACCTCTATAGCCCTACATAATATCTGAATCTGCACTTTTCGCAGCATAGAAAACAAGCAGCACTTGTACCCAGACTGTATAAATAAAAACCTAATCTTTAGTGTGTGTTTGTGTGGGTCGTGTATCTCACTGCGCCTGGCCAGCACTGCAGTCTTCTTATCAGCCTTCTCCTCACCACCACCACCACCACCAGCAACAGCAGCAACAGCAGCAGCAGACCTCCTCAGTCTCATCTGGTCATGCTATCATGCTGAGCACTCAGACACGACAGAATAGTAGCCAGTCAGCCAGCTGCGAGCTTACTGTCCCTGAGTCCATCACATCCCAAGGCCCCCGCGGATGATGTGTGTGTGGGGTAGAGGAGGCGGGTGAGGTGGGGGGTGTCCATGCTTGGCTTTCTCCAGTCCAGTCCAGCCCTTATCCAGATTGGCCCGTACAATATGTGGCAGCTGGGCGAGTGAGTGTGGAAGCGTGGAGAGGGAGAGATTGGAAAGAAAGTCCCAACTGTCACCACACAGGAATTGGGGCAAAAATTTGGCTTATGTCTTAATGCGTGCTGTGGTTTCTCCCTACTCTGGACTGCCACAGTGTTTTATTTCATCTGAAACATTGATTCATTTTGGCTTTTTCCTTTTCCCTCGGTGTATAGTGATTTATATTGATTTGGCATAGATTTTAAGCCAGATGTCCATCCCGATGCCTTTCTCTACATTTAGGCGTCAGAATGCCACAAGAAAATGGTTTGTGACTTGTTGTAACTCAATTAGTGTATACCAATAACATTGTATCAGTCCTATTGATTTGATATACCTTTTATTCTGTTTTGTTCAGGCTGGTGTATGGTACATAGGAAGGAACTGTGACCTATTGTGGAGACCTGTCACAATAACACATTTTGAAGGGAGATATATTGCTACAGAGAAATGCCACATTAATATGGAAACCAATTTTAAAATATACAGTATCATTAAAAGGCACGAGCTACAACAAATAAATAGCAGAGTTAACTAATTATTATCCAGAAAAGTCAGTTATTCAACCCTACAGCTCAAATCTTATTGTATTACAGAAATGAATAAAATCCTCCTATTATTGCATTATTGTGATATAAATGTATAATTTGCCAGTAAAAAATGATTTCTTGCTGCTGGATTCCTTCTTGAATTGAGTGAAATGTAACCCTTAGCTTATTTTTATGTTGTATTCCCTAGCATATCATTCCGTGCGCTGCATGTACAGTATACAGTGCATTAAAACGTGCTAATTAAGATTTTATGTGAAATAAGGGATTTGCTTCCAAATTAAGATCTTAAAACCATCTGACCAAGCAACAAAGGGAGGGCACATTATGCATTCTATAAATGCCTATTTAATTATGTTGAGTGTTTGGGGCATATGCACCAAGCACAGATTATTAAAACTCAAATTATGTCATATTTGATTTCAACATTCATAAATCTATTGTAGTTATTCAAATTCTTGTGACTTAACATGAATCATATTAGATTTCTGTTGTGAGTGTGGACACGGTTATGAACTCAAATTAATTTCATTTTAAAGTTGAGTAATCCAATAGAATTTTTTAATTTGCCATCTCCTAAATAAGCAACTACAAATGTGCCCCTGAAATATTTGAATGTATTTTGCAGTCTGTGGTGTGTAAAATGTCTCTCTCCTTGGATCACGACTGCATATATTTTATCCCTGTGTTGTGGAGGTCAGTGTGTGCGGCTGCTGGCCATCTCTGTGTTTATGAATGCACACGATCCATCCTGTTGTCTCTCTCTCATCACCAGGGCCAGAAGGTTGCAACCTGTTTATTTATCACCTGCCGCAAGAGTTCGGAGATGCGGAGCTCATGCAAATGTTCCTGCCTTTTGGCAACGTCATTTCTGCCAAAGTCTTCGTGGACCGGGCGACCAATCAGAGCAAGTGTTTTGGTGAGTTTCAAAAAATTGACGTTGAAAATGTCATTAATAATTAGGCTGTGTTTTGGCAATCCACTCTAGCCTCTCGCTCCCTTCTTCCAATTAGTTTGCGTTTATCCCCACTGTCTATTCTAATCAAGGCACAATTAACATTTTAAAGGTGGTGTTACATGCCACTGAGCAGAGAGCTGAGAAGGGAGATCCAGGCTCATAGATACACGCTCATTTATTCCTGGATTCATTATTTGTGAAAATTTGACGAGACACAGGCAATCACAACTGGAGGATGCTCCAAATTTCTAAAGTTACAAGTGCTATGAATTTTGCTTTGAGACTTGAAAACTTATCTTCACATGCACTATCTATTCAATGAAAAAAGTGTGATTACATTTAGTAAGATGGTTTCTACTAGGCTACACATTTAAATGTGGCCCATTTGGTTGTCAGGGTACATTTTAACTTTGAATTCTTACTTTTGGATATTGCTTGAGTTATTATTTGTGATTGATTGTATTTTTAAACAAATGAAAATTGTCTGGATCCAGTGAAATTTTGTAATTGCGTAATATACCTGAATCCCGTCAATTCAATGGCATGTGCCGATTAAATATGTTAACGGGATCTATGTTATGAAGTTATATACAGCAGTTTTTCAGCAACTTCTTATCCATATGACTGTGAATATCAGCATTAGTACCAAATAATAATTTCGACACATTAAAACTGCATACAAACTTGATATGCTGTGCAATGAGTCTCTTATCGCAAACTTTAACATCGACTCCCTAATCCAATTTACATTTTCACTTTTCATTTTACACCCACCACCAGTATAGTATTATACATTGGATCTGACTTTACAAAAGAGCTTTTCTCAGCACCCAACTCCCCACCAGAGAGCCACCAGTTGGACACGAATCTCCCACCTCCCCATGTTCCACCTCCCACACTGCAAACCAGTTCAGTCCAATAGAGCCGGTGCAGGAGGAATCCACGGGCTTAAAGAGCTAATAATAGACTATAGTGTGGGCCTGTGCTGTTGATTTAGTTGGACAGCGGCCCCCGGGAGACGCAGGCAGACTCCCAGCATTGGCTTTCCTTCACTCTCTCTTCAGCATGGCACTTCTATGAGGCTTTTCTTAGCTGTCCATCTCGTGACACTGTCTTTCTTTTGGCCTGTCTGGATCGCTGGGCCCTTTTCTAAACATATGCCTCTCACTATCACTAACTGTCACTCAACAAAGGAGCAGGACAAAAGGAGCTTGACCTCATCAGTCTCACTGGCGTATTTCGCGCGGCTAGTAATTAAGATCCTGGCTGGAAATATAGCAAATTATCCACTCATTCTTTTGTAATTTTTTCCAGACTAATTGTTATGGCAGAAATCCCGTGGCTCTTTTGTACAAAATTAACAAATTGAGTAGTTTATGCAAGTAAAGCGGCATTAAAATAGTAATATGTGAAATTAATTTGGATTAACAATGCAATATTTCATTATAAGCAATAATATATCAATTGTTATAATTAACATTGTTTCATATTTTTCTTGATAAGGGCAGACGACGGTAATTTAGTTGAAACTCATGATCAAACTGTGACTGTGTAAAAAAAACCTTTTAACCTTTTAACCTTTGAATTTGACTGGCCCCTTATTTAATATGTTAATGACCTTTTAAATGGACAACATAAACAGTAAATGTGATTCATTGCTTATTACACAACCCCAGTGAGAATGTTATAAGCGCATTTTTCATTATAGGCAACACATGAATCATATTATTTAGCTGAAGTACATAATTGTTGACTCCTTTTGATGTTATACAAAAATAACTCCCCAGCTATACTTCACTTAATCCTCTGCATTTGTCATTATATGATGACTTGTAAGTGATCAAAGCTTACCTTTTTAAGTGGCATTAACTGGATGCAACTCAAATGCGTTTCAAAAGGTCGTTTGAGAACAAATTACTCATACACTTTAAATGGGGCCAAACTCTTTCTGCAGGGTATAAATATATCTGTGTTTGAAGAGGTTTAGAGCTTTGTTTCATATTCACATTTTTGGACAAATCTGCAATATGATACTATATTCTACTATACTGTAGCACTGCATTTTAACAATCCAAAAAGAGTATTTGTAGCACTTCTCTCCAAATGCCTCTTATCTATACAGAGGACATCAACATTGCCACATGTTCTCGTGCCATCATCATCATTGTAAAACATTAAAAATGCATAAAAACTCATTGTGCACTGATATGGTGTGCTGCAGGGCTCTCTTATCTCCAACTTTAGTATTGTTCAGGGCATTGAGCCTCAGGAAGAGCAGCCAACACGAAGCCCTGTTTTATTATACATATGTAATGTATTTGAATGTACATGGACCCAGGTACCTTTTCATTCCAGAGCTAAACTATTTCTTCTGCTACTGTACCCTGACACCGGTCGACATCTTTGGCATGTAGAACGTGAGGTATGAAGGTTCATTAAAGGCCGAGTCGGTGCATGCGCGCGTGTGAGGAGATCGGAGCTGAGGATCACTGGCAGCTGACAGGCCCTTCCCCTGCTCAGTTTGTTTAAAGGGTTTGTAAAAGCAGCAGCCTTATCTCACCTGCACTGACAAAAGCCTGCCCTCTCCCCCCAAATTAAATTGGACCCATAGCGGTGTGATCAAATCAGCTGGCAGGTGGAAAATTCGGCCTGTCAATCACGCGGGTGTCTGATAAGGGCTGGCGAGGAGTCCCGATGCCGTGGAAGGGCTGTGGGCTAATTCTGCCTCCGCACCAGGGCGATAACTCAAGCAGCAGCACCCCGTGTCCTACCAGACCCCCGCTCCCAGCAGCTCGGCACGACCCCTATGCCCTGCACTTTTCACTCCCTACATGAACATGGACACACACACAGACAGCAGACAGACAGCCCGCCTCCAGCCCACTGCTCCTGTCCACTGTCTTATAACTCATGTTTTCTGATATTGATGTGTTGTAAGTATCAGGCCTGCACGGTATATTGAAAATAGCAAACACACTTGACATATTACATATTACATATTACATTTTTATTTACAGTCCAAATATGATTTTTCACGTAAGACTTATGTCATTTTAAAGCGCCCTTATTATGCTATTTTACGATCTATGTCGAAATGTTTCCTCATCAAAAATATACCTGGAGTTGTGTTTTGTTTTATTCACATACGTTGTATTTCTCTCAAACTAAAAACACTGTGTGCCACTTTGTGATGTCATGTGATTATACAAGAACCGATTCATTATGTTTTTAAACACTACAACTTCACTAGAATCATTTGGATGATTTCAGGCTTGGAATTTCCAATCTACTTAACTAAATGAATATGGTATGTAGCTGTTAACTTGAAAACTACCACTATGACATCACAAGGTGGAACAGAGCATTTTGAGCTTTGGGGATGCCTAATAAACTAAGATTACTCAAACATGTGTGAATGAAACAAAACACAACTCTGGGTATGTTTTTGAGGAGGTAAAAACATTATAGCACGGCTTAAAGCTCAGTGTGTAATATAGGTCCTTTAATTGTTGACCCACACATTTCTTCAGTTTTTTTTTACATTTTCAAAATAGTACAATAAGTAGATGTAAGGTAAATATAGGAATATATTTTTGTGAATATTTTGTATTCATGGACATGGACTAGACAATCCTCTACACGACAGCAGGTAGCGTTACACTTCTTGTACGCCCTTTTCCCATTATCTTTCATGTTTTTGTCCCTGCCGAGTTTCTAATAGCTCTTGCTGTTTGATTTTTTTCCATATCAATGTTATTAGGCAGCGGTGCTTTGTGTAATCTTTTTTTAATTCAGAGATTTCCAATTAATCTGCTCAAAAGACAAAACAAAGGCCTATTGTCACGTCATTGTCAGGAGTTAAAAGGGGTCTTCCTGTTGGCTCCTTTCATCACGTTCCTCTATTCACTGCACCTTTCTCCATTTCTGTTATCTTTTGGTGGAAACTTCAATCTCACCTTTCTTCTTTGCTCATGGGCTCTCCTCTGTGTTTTTCTTTCAGGTTTTGTGAGTTTTGATAATCCGTCCAGTGCTCAAGCGGCGATCCAGGCCATGAATGGTTTTCAGATAGGCATGAAGAGGCTGAAGGTACAGCTCAAGCGGCCAAAGGATGCCAACCGACCTTACTGACTCGTCTTCTGTCCATACCCCGGTACAGTAACAACACACATATGTACACACATACACACTGGTATCATCTTTTATCTTATCATCAGGAGGAAGGTGGTTTCTTTCAGCCTTTTCAAAAAGTTCAGTCTGTTAAAGTTTTCAGCAATAAAGTTGCACTATTTCAGAAGAATAGCCAGTTTGGTTAAACTGAAATCTAAGAAACTGTTAAAAACAACATCACACACACATGTTTAGCAATGTGCGTGCTCTGTTGAGTCTTTCTAGAGAACGTGCCTACAGACAATTACATATTATTATAGTTAAGATGTACACAGTAAGAGGAGTTGTCAGCTAACAATCAGTACTTATTACCATGATGTTTTTACTCTTTTTTTGCTAACATAAATATCCATTTGCATCCATACTAAGTCTTGTAAGTTAATAAGTAAACTTACATATGTAAATGTATTCACTTTTTAAGACTGGATTCCATATTTTTTAAAGAAATGTCAATTTGTCAGATTTGACAGGGTAGGAGTAGTGGAGAGATGCTATATTCTTGTATTTGAGTGCTTATTTTTGGTCATGCTGTTTTGTATGTGTCAGGGCACCAGCTTCTTCCAGGTATCAATTTTGGTTAAATGAGCCTCTTCAGATTTTTGTCAGGTCGCCTCGCTCCACAAAATTGTTTTTGTTTCCTTTGCAGTCTAAAATCTAATTTGTACCGGATGCAGGTTGCTCCTGTGCAAATTAATGACATCATCAATACCTAGCTGTGCATAAATAGCTGTCTGCTGGGTATAGCTCAGAAAATCAATACAAGCTGTTAAACCACCAGTTCACAAATGCATAGGCCAATCAGTTCAGCCTGAAAATAGTACCGCAGTACTTGTCTGTGCTGCTTAGCAACATGCAAAACTCAGTTAAACATTTATTTAAGAGAAAGTGGAGCTCATCAAGACATGCATTTTTATTATACACCGAAGTCTTATCTCTGTAACATTGGGCTGTGTTTTATTATAGAAGTGGAGAAGAAGTAAAATTGACTAGAAGATTTGACAGCGAGATTTTCAAAAGTCATATCTAAAATAGTCATCTTATCCTTTAATATCATGGATAGAGTTATGAAGACTGCAGATGGGACAAGGAGAAAAATGAAATGTTATTGAAAACCAAGCCTACTATCACAGTGCCATTCATTTAGCACTGCTTCAGCATAGAAAGAGTAACACCTTTACAAAGCCAAACAAATACACAATTTTCTCTCAATAGAAACTAATGCCATGCTTTATTCTAACAGCTCTCTCAATTCTCCCAAGTGCTGCCGCCAGTGCACAATAATAAATAGATTAATGCCGTAACCCTCAATTAGACGAACAACATAAGGCTAGCTTTATGCTCCTCTATAAATAAAAGCATCAGAATACTACTTCTTTGTTCGAGTTACAATTCACAGAAAATGTCTCATGAAGAGGAGACAGATTTGGGTTTCTTTGACAGATTACAGATTATAATTTCATATATGGTGAAAGTTGTATGTGTGCGTGTGTGTCTTGATCCATCTGTCCCTTTGTCCTCAGTCCTCGTCTTTGTCATTTTCTGCTATTGCTGTACAAACCAAAAACTGTCAGGTATTATGAAGTTCAAAAAGAAGAAAGTTTTGGGGAGCGAGGCAAGAAGCAGTGAATACAGCTCCAACTACATCTTTTTAATTCAAAACCCCCTGTATTATTATGATGAAATAACCTGATGAAATGTGAATGATGAGCTTTTGTGTTCCAAGGTAGAAGTGTGCAAACCTTAATGCACTGATAACTCCTGAGTCTTTCTTTCTGTAATGCTTTGCTAGTTCACTTTGAAGTTGAATTAAAAACACGATCAGACAGCATTTTCTTCACTGGTCTTAGGAGTCACCCTTTTCTGAAATTGCGTTCTGTGTCTTAAAGATAAACTTAATTCAAGGGGGAAAAATCACTATATGGCCACCCTCATCGCAAACAATGCAAGGCAAATCCAATTACAGTAGACAGGGCAAGTTCCTAAAATATGCCTCTCTGCCTTAAGGGGTATTTGGTGAATATAAAACATCAATTCAACTTTTTAACCTGCATATGTTGTCAGACTGAGATGATTCCAGCACTGGAGAGGCACTTTTGCGCTCTGTTAAATATGATGTCCTCTGTTATATCTGTTTTTCTTGCCAAACTTTTTCTCCATTTAACTTTAGAGAAATTATTCTTCCAAGTATGGGGTGAAGTGTGGATGTGGTTTTAAATGTGACTTAGGACACGAAAATCCCATTGTTTGTTTCTTCTTTTGCACCCAACACGTGGCCCTGCCATGGCCCATCACAGTGTGAGGTGGCCTGCCTGCATTAGCCACTGCCCCTCCTGTCTGGGCCGAGTCCCCACAGCTGTAAGTGAGCCCATGGTGTCATTTTCTTTTGGATGACGTCATGTGGTGGGACTGTGACTGCATTGCATGACGTGGCGTTGGTATCTCTCAAATTCTCTCTCTAGACTCTTGATTGTAAATAGTGTATTCTGTACTTGGCAGTCTGTGCAGTGCAGTTTACTGATGCCTCTCTTGGCTGGTATTGTGGTACATATAATGTAAATGACGTGCTGACTGGTTGGTGGACTATAACTGGAAGTGGCCTTAATCCTTTGTGCTCTTGTACCGTGTGCCCTTGTGATGTTTTACTTTCTCTTGTGGGGTCATGTGTATGGATGTATCGCATTTCTATTTCTATATTCCTTCACATTCATCAACAATGTTTTTTCAGCTATCTATGATTTTATACAAATAGGTAACCTTTGCAAAAGGAGCCGTATCCGCCCTGATCGACAGCTTTTTAGTTGAAAGATGGCCAAGACAACCTTGTGTTTGTGTAGCCAATTAATTCTCCAGAGTTGGATGCAAGAGCACAAGCTAATGTTGACATTCCACTTCTCTGTGGATTTCATCTGCACAGGGAGTACTTCTGCAAGATTGTTTTATTTGCCTAACATGAGAATCACTCCTCATTTATTTATTTATGAGGGAGCAAACCAATTACCAGGAGAGCAGGATACAGCAGTGCACAGCCACATCGCCAAAAGCCACTTGTACACATACATTTACAAAAAATATGCATAGCAGCGTTATTTGCTTTGTACTCTGGAAAATGTGCCACAATTAAACTCACAGATAAATAAGCTTTAGGTCTTTGTTTTGTTTTATACCCCTTTGTGGTCTGTAAAAAGTTCAAAGTGTAACAGATCCCCTTTCTCCTTCTGAGTTTGTATCTTTCCCTCTTGGCCATACTTTTTCCAGGCTGGTTTGCTGGGCTCGCTCAGCTGCACTGCAGGCGACACCCTCTCCTGTTGTGTATGCAATGAACTCTGCTGTTTCTATCCAGGCAAGCAGCGAGTGATGAAGTCTTTCTATCAATAACTCTGCCTCTTAACAGTCAGGTGTCTTTTATAGAGCCATCCACAAGATTGGGCTATTAAGGGGATGTAATGTAGAGACAAGTAGCTCATGCCAGGACGCAGGAGTTCATGTTGAAATCATGTTGGAAGCTAGTGACTTTCGAGAAGGCACTGGGCAATTGAGGAAGCGGTTTATATTGCTAATGATCACGCTTGCTTTAATACACAGAACAAGTTTCAATCCACACTGCAGCATAGAGACATATGAAATCATAATAAGCTCATTTACAGGATAGGTACGTCAAAGAGCGACTGGGCACACACCATCCAACCCTTTCATCTTGTTTCCCAGGGAGTCGGTTCCATAGTTGCGCTACACCCACATCATTGCTCACCACATATTAGGGATGATAGTCTGTAAACTAGATCCTTTGTCAGCGCGGACACATTTAACGCTGAGGCACAATTTCAAGGAATGAATTGTGTAGGTGTTTTGTGTTGAGCCCAGATTAAAGTCTATGTGTTTTATTCACACTGGACAGTACTGTCATTACCCCATTTTCTTTTGTTGTTTGTTTTTGTGTTCAGGACATTATTGCAGATGAGAAGGTGTTTTAAATGAGGTTGGCCTTTTTCTTAACATATAGAGGCAATGTCTTTTTCTCCATGGTTCCAACAAGAACCTTCCACCCCACTCTTAGCCCACCTATTTCTGTTTTTGACTGACACCCTCATGGTTTTTTCCACCTTCCTTTCCTGTCTGTTTCTCATGCTGTTGGCTGTGCCTGTCAGTCTGTGTGATAACCAGGATCCAGCAACCCTGAGCATGTTTGCCACCGCCACCGCTCTAAATCCACTATTTCTGTCTCTCTTCTCTCTCTGTCACAGGATGAAGGGCCACAACACCTTATTTCCACAAGTGCAGTAAAAGTACAAAGACTTCTTGCTCTGCTACATATCATGAAGGAAGGGTGGTCCCTTGATCCTGCTGGAGAAACCTGTGGAAAGATTGGGTGACTGAAAGAAGGATCCCAGAGTTTTTCTTATTCTTCTTTTTCATTCTTTTTTTTTCTTCGCAAATGCCTCTTTTTTCCCTGTTTTGCTTTGGCGTCTGTGGAAGAAGATTTTTTGCAGAGACCAACTTTTTGCTGCTGTTTTTTAGACATGACGGGGAAAAACCTTTATAGACTCATTATGCTCAAAGCATGCATACCGACACAGGATATAGAGAAACACACAGAAAAACAAACCAAACATATACACCTAAAGAAGATATAAAATGAAGAAAAAAAAAGAACTTTGTACATGTATAAAAACGTGCAAATGCCAACAAGTACTGAAGCGAACCACACAACACACTAACACACACACCAGCCTGCTGCCATTTTGGTTTTTGTGCCTACACAGGTGTTGTGCTCTGTGACAGGGCAAGCTCTGGATTTAACGAAGAAAAAACGAGAAGACAGGAGACGTGGAGGAGAATCCAGGATAATTTACATGCATCATTCCTTAGGAAATAGGGACCAAAGGACTAAATGCTTTTTAAAAGAATATAAATATATAAATATATAAATATATATATATTTAAAAACTCATACCTTGTAGCTG